TTTGTTGGAATCAGCTAAATGTCTTGAGAAACAAACCATAGGAGGAAAGGAAGAAAAACCGATAAATACCGTCTGTGCCTGATTTCCCAATGGATTTTGTTCATGTTTTTCAGGGGAAAGGTGGTTACTTAGTTACAATCAGACTTTTTCAAGTCACACAATACTCTTCATGAGCTGGAGTTTCATGTTACAAATTGGAAGTGCTGTGTGTTGTCATTCATGAAAAAATACTGCACTTATAGCCAAATAAGCAAATCACAGCAAATTTTGTGTCATAGTGACATTCATAACTCATATCAGTTAGTAAGCTATTTTATCTTCTGTTCTAACAATGAATGGAGGTGATGATTTAATCTGATTCCTTCCTGAAATCTAAATATTAGCACAATAGTTTCTGAAATTTTTACAATGTTAAATTATGATCTAATCCATGAGAAACCAGGGATTTAATATAGGAATTTAAAAAGCAAAAACAAAAAAAAGAGAAAGAAAAAATAGCAGGAATAACTAACCCTTAATTGTATATTGGATTAGTTCAGCCCTTGAACAGCTTTACCTTTCTTTAGGAATGTACATTTTAGATATTATGTTAAGAACTGATAATGGAGCTTGGATTTAATTTAGATAGAAAAAAAATAAAGATTTGTATTTCTTTTCCAGTAGCAAAAAATTACATAACACTAGTACTTATAACCTGTCAAAATCAGATATTAATGACTTTGTAGTGTTGTAAAATTTTGAGGAATTTTGAAATCTTTAATGTAGGTAACCTGGACCACAGTTACTATTCATTGACAATGTGGGACGTGACTGTAGTGAGGAAACCACAGTGGATGCTGGGCCTTGTAAATACAGGGATGTAGAAAAGCAGATAGTTCATTGTCTACCTTTTTCTAGAATAACCTTGAACCTTAAATTTTAAATCATGTCTACTGCTAGAAAATTAAATATACTTGTTAAAACCAACAACAAAAGCACATTTCTGAAAGGAAGTTGGAGATAATCTCTGAGTCTAGTGAAAAGACAGTAAAACCTGTTTGATATTATCTAAGAATTTGAAGGAATTCATGTAAAAGCAATCAGATTTTTTAATTTACAGGAGCCAAATAAACCTATAACATCTTAGTATTTATAGGATTCAGAAAGAATATTTATTTAACTTTATTATGAGGCAACACATATTTTCCTGTATTTTTAGATGTAGTTTAGAAAACTATCCTTAATAGTCCTTTTTATATGCTTTCTATTTAAAAGTTTATTTTAGTCCTTTTGAAAGACTATTGCTGCTCCAAGTAGTTGTATGATTTACATTCTAAACTTCCTTAAGTGTGTTTATTTAAGAGCACCACCACACCTGACCTGAGCATCCACTTAGAGAATGTTTTTTGTGGTCTGGAGTGACCAAAAAGTACATGAGAATGTGGTCTAGATTTTTTTCAGCTATGTCATTAACTTTCCATGACCAAGACCAGTTATTGGATGAGTCTGTATGTAAAAAGTAAAATCTTATTTATGGAAGGTATTATTCTAAGGGAAAAATCCAGGGTCAAGCTATATCTTTAATGTCCTTCTATATTGCATGTCTATTTATGTTATAAAATTTGTTATTGCTTCAGATTTCCTATCCTAGCATGATAAATCACCAGAGAACCTGTTTGGGGTATAAAACTTTCGTAGAAAATATTTGGTGAGTATCCTGATTATAATCCAGACTATGTGTACATTGGTGAAATAACCAGAAATACTGCAAAACTCTGTTGGCTTAAACAGGTCGACTTCAACCCTAATTTACTCTTGATATCACTCTGTTGAGTGAGGGAGGAAACTCAAACCTCAGCTTTGTTTTTCCCAGGACAGATGGTAGTGATAGTGCATTATATTTTAATAAGAAAAACAAAACAGTAATCCTTGAGAATTTTTCAAAAGCATATTTGAGGCACATTTTTTCATAACTATATACTTGTCTATTTATTGCCCTTGAAAAATATACGTGTAGAAGTTCTTCTTCTGTTATTTGTTACTATCTTCTTAAGTTGTTCCAAAGATAATACTGCCATTCTGCATTCCCTCTGGAAGAAAAAAAAACTCAAAACCAGCAGTGCTGCTATCAGATAAGTAGATGTCAATGTGTACTTATCAGTAAAAACTAAAAAATGTAATGTGTTTGTTAATCCAACTTTTTTCTATGTAATATTTCCAAGTCAGACTTTCTTACATTCCTGGAATTCAGTTTGATACACCAAGAGTAATAATGATAAAATGTTCACTTTGATTACTGTGGGGAGAAAAATTAAGTGTTCAATTCTATTAAAACAAACTTCTCAGAGATACTGGTTTCTTGTCCTTGAAGGTTATAAAGAATTTAGAGCTATTGTGTCTTTATTTTTTTATGTTTTGCTCAAGGTGAATTGTATATTCATGCATTTCATTGCTGGTTTGGGTACATAGGAATTTGGTGGTGGTATATTAAAGTCTTTCCTTCACAGTATTTTGTAATACTTGAAAATTATTACATGTACACTGCTAACAGAAGTTAGAATTTAAACATTTTGTTTTTAATATTTATAGGCTATATTAGGGGCACATTTGCATCCACCAAATCACCATCAGTATTTAACAAAAGAGGCAGATGGATGAATGGACACAGTCACTGCGCCTTCCTTTTCTTTCATACTTTTTTTTTTTTTGAGACGGAGTCTCATTATCTTGCCCTTGGTAGAGTATCGTGCTGTCACAGCTCCCAGCAACCTCCAACTCTTGGGCTTAA